ATCTGGATCAGTGAAATATGCTTAGCATGCAGAGATGCCATGTTAGATAAGTGTGCTGGCTGTCTGTTAGCTCTGAGGTGCTGTGTAATTGGGGGCGTCTCTGACTAAAAACTGTCCTTGGATCACAGGAGGTACTCTGCGGTGGATTAAAACTCTTTTCTATCCTGCCGTCTGCCTGATTTGGAGGTAACTGATGTGAATTAGCGCTAAAGGGGCAGTAGGCTATTAATATTAGCATTAGCAATAGATTTCTTGAGGGAACAGATGCAGCGACTTGAGTCAGTTATGTCGTTACCATATTGTATTTTAAATATTGCGATAAGCCTGTACAGCTGAGAATACCTACAATGTTATGTTACTTGCTGTATATGGATCAATGACAATTAAAGGCACAATATGTAAGATTTTTTTATTAAAATATCCAAAACCCACTAGAACAGTGTTATATATTTTGCTGACTTGTGTACTTACATTATCCCAAATGTTTCGAAGAATGTTTAAATCCAGAGAAATAAGCCATTTTAACTAGTGACACGGACCGTGTCCATAGTGTCATTGTGTCGCCTGCCAATGACGTCATAACCCCTGGATTTCCGGTTTTGTTTTGAAGAAAACATGGAAACACCAAAGACTCTTTAATATGTTGTGCATTTTAATAGACCGGTGACGACCGCACAGAGTAGCATAATAACATAACTTTCAAATGTATCTAGTGTGATAAAACAGCGCTGCTTTTTTTCCCCCACATATGCACGACCGTAAGGAGCGGAAGCGGTCGACTGTGTAAATTTTACCCGTGGCTGTTTTTCAAATGTACATAACAGGTTTAAAATAAAACATTCAAGTCTCCCAGTCAATTACTTTTACTAAAATGATGTAATTTACAATCCAACGTTGTTAAAAATTATTTAGATAAAACCAGATCAAAAAACGGGGCATTTATACCTATAAGCACCAGCGGGTCAAATTGACCCGCTATATAATGCATGTATTTTCGCGCTGTCATTTTCTTGCCGCTTATGTTTTAACATTGTACATTTCTAGGCAACGCCTTTCAATGGAGAGTCTGGTGGTAAGTTATGCGTCCTGGGTTGGCTCAGCAGCTGACGGCTCATCTGACAGTGATCCAGATATCATATTTACATGTTTTAGCCTAACATTACTCTAATTGGTCAAACTTTGGGTTAATTATTAAATTTTTGTCTTGCCATATCGTTTATTGTTCGCTACGGTGTTGCTGCTATTCTAGTCTGGCTGTTTCCTGAAGAAAAAAACCCCGATCTATATGATGTAATGAATAAAACCATTTTTTTGATTACCCAAAGTTTAATGGTGTCGTTCTCTTATTCAAATTATAAATTATATAACTAAACAAATTAATAAATATTTAGGTGAAGCTGTGCGCTTGAATTTGTCATCGCATCATCCTATGCAGTGTGGTGAATTATTATTGCTCATTATTGTCTATAGGCTGTTTTAGTCATTCATAGCATGGGTTATCTTAATATATTGATTAATGACATTGTATTATAATATTAAACCACCCAAATATTTAGGCTACTACCTTCTAATTTCCGTTGTCAGTGCAGACTTTTTATTTTTATTTTTTTAGCTTAGGCTACTGACCATTATGAATTAGTGTAGCCTGCATTAAAAAGTCTTGAACATAAAACAACAGGATAAAAATATAGTTGATGACTAGACATAATAATTTCATGACTCTAGACACTTCTTTGTGAAGACAGTAGCATAATACAGTGAAATAATATGTTCTTTAGCCATATAAATACAGTTGCCATGTGCGTGGGTAAAATATATGTATAATTTTATATTCTTAAGATTTATAAATATAACTGTGTTTACAGTTTACATTTATACTGTATATTTAAACTAATTATATTTTCAGATTACTTATATACACACATATACAGTACATTCAGAATTATAGCTACATAATCACAATTTACATTTATATATTCAGGCTTATAACTATATAATCTGATTTACTTCTATATATTCATGATTTACAGTTATATATTAAGATTTGTTAATTAATATTTATTATATTAATTAATATAAATTAATATTTATTGATTATTTATATATAATAATTATCATAATAATTTTTGTTTTAAAAGGATTATTTGGACACTGAAATATTATGCATTACAAAGTTTATTCATTCTATGAATATTTTAAATGAATACCATTAAAATGCATTAATTTTGGTGTCACAGCTTAATGGGCTGTCCTTTGACATATCGCAAGTCATGTGACTGGAACAGTAGTCAGATTAGTCCAGAAGAAATTAAGTTTGGTTGACATGGATAATAATTATCATAATTATTAATTATCATAATAATTTTTGTTTTAAAAGGATTATTTGGACACTGAAATATTATGCATTACAAAGTTTATTCATTCTATGAATATTTTAAATGAATACCATTAAAATGCATTAATTTTGGTGTCACAGCTTAATGGGCTGTCCTTTGACATATCGCAAGTCATGTGACTGGAACAGTAGTCAGATTAGTCCAGAAGAAATTAAGTTTGGTTGACATGGACATTCTCAGATGCACTTGAACATTTCTTCTGTTGTTCTCTCCTTTAGTTTACTGCTTCTTGTCATTCAAAGATTGGTGCACACACACACACACACACACACACACACACACACATACTGGTTTCCATGTTTGATGGGGACCAACTTTATACACACACACACACACACACAGACAGACAGACAGACAGAATGTCCTCTATGGCAGTGGGTTTGGCTGGGATCCTGAGCCAAAACAATAGCCTCAAAACATCTGAGAGAGTTTGGCCAAAGAGTACACACACACACACACACACACTGGCTTAACTCCATAACAACTTATGGCCTAGAGTGTTGGGTCAGCACACAGAAAACCAGTTCAAGGACGTGTTTCGCGCAGAGAGCTCGTAAACCTGCTCGACACTCTGTGTGCATACAGAATGTCTGTGCTGGGGTTTGAAAATAAACTAGCAAGCGTGACCTTCACTGTGATGAAACTGAACCTTCATGTTGTAAATGGAATTTTGCTGATGTGTTTGGTCTTCTATTTACAAAATACTCCTAATGTAAAGCGGTAGAAGATCAACTTCAAAGACAGGTTGCATAAATCAAACTGCAGAGAACATTTAATACTCACTCTCACACTGTAGCCAAACAGGTTTACTGAAACCAAGGGCAACACAATATCTTTAACATTTTGATAGGGCTGTGTTTGCAGTTCCACAGTTTCTCAGTATGCTGTATATACTTTGACACAAATGTCTGCTTTACACCTGACATTAACTTGTTTTATACCATGAGTATTGCAAGTCATTCTTGCAATTTCAGTAAAAGCCTGAATCTGTGTTAGTGAGTTATATGTTGCTAGATGTAGTTACAGTAGATGCTGCTTGTTAGTAAAATGACTAACTTGCTAACACAGATTGAGGTTTAAAAATTAAGCTGACGAACAGTATTCATAACCATATGTCACAGAAAACCAAATATTTAAGTTTTCAATGGATAAATATGCATAAAATATGTAAGCTAGCCCTGTATAGCAGGGCAAATAACCACTTCGTCAGCTGACCTGAAACTAACTTTCACTATATAATAAGGGCCTATTTTTGGGCCCTGTATGGTAAAGGATACTAACAGAGTTAAAACAAAAATCGAAAGCACTTTTAATAACAAATATTTTACCCTATATAAGAACTGCTAGGTTTTGATCCGATAACCAATTTATTCTTAATGCCAGGTTTAAAGCCTCTTACATTTTACCGTATGCTTTCAAAGGCTGCGTTCTGAAGTCCTTTACATGACATTTCATGTACTTCAAATAAGTTCTTAAAAATACTTGCAATTAAAAATGTAAGAAAATATGCTGAATTTCAAGTTCTAATATTAAAAACTCTCTAACCGCCTGCAGTCTCAGGGTTGCTGTAATGCAAAGAGGGTATTTTCTACCGCAGAACTGCCATCTTGCTTTGTGTCGATTGCTCTTTGTTCTGCAATGTAATGCTGGATGAATTCCATTCTTAGGTGGCCCAATGGGGGCTCAGGCAGACAACAGGTCCAATCCAGTGCCATTGTCAGGCAGCTTAGCTGCCACTGTCTTTGTTATGGAGTCTCTATGATGATCTTGTTCCATTTCAATAGGAGAGCGGTGACAATCACCAGTGCTGGGACGAACGTGCATATTCTGAATCTGGAGTGACATGGTGTGTGTTGTGGTGTCTTGTGCGTGTGTGTAAGGATTGCACCTCTTTTCTATATTTATCTTCAAAGTGTGCCACCTCTCATGTGAGCTCTAGCCCAGAACCTGGAGGGAGAGGGAAATATAATGAAAAGGAGGAGGGTTTAGGGATGAACTGTGTTCATTGTGTTAGTTGGTATCTGGGACACTGCAATGCCACATCTCACCCCACTTTATTGTCTGCTTTCATATTCTGCTGTGTATGTGTGCACATTCATGTGTGTATATGTAAATGTGGTGGGTGAAATGCTAATGAAACCATACACTTGAACAAGCAACAACCAATATATTATTATTCTGCTTTGTTTTTATTAATGTACTACACTGATTATCCACAACATTAAAACCACCAGCCTAATATCAAGACCTCTGAATTTGTCCTGTGGTTTCTGGCACCAAGACGTTAGCAGCAGATCTGTTAAAGTCCCTACAAAGTCAATTCTGAGAATTGTTTCTCAGAATTCTGTAGTACTGAACAGTGGCGTTAGACCGTTAAACAGTTTTTCACCAATTCTGTGTTCAGGATTTTTTGGGCGGGGCTAAAACGGTGGCTCGATGACGCACTGGAGCCACCGATCATGGCCCCTCCCCTAACACTATAATAACTGTCGATGACGCACCGGAAAAAATATGTATGAGCAAATATGTATGGCTTTGTAAATCCAATTAAGCTGCTAGGAGCATCCATTCAGGCTGTAGTGGTATTTGACACTTAAGAGGCAGCAGCTTTCCCGCGAGTGGGCGTGGTTTCAGCGCAGACAGCGGACACGCCCCCAGCATTTGAGAGCAGAGGATACTGCCCATTTTTTTTCGAGATTTTGATAACTTTATGTACTTAGCGGATTTTTTATCATTCAAATTTGGTTGAGTGATTAATAATACATTTTTCTGTGGTGTGACAAACTCAGAACACATACTTAATATTGACTTTACCGGGACTAGTCCTACAGGTTGCAAGGTGGGGCCTCCATGGATTGGATTTGTTGGTCCAGCTCATCCCACAGATGCTCAATCTGATTGAGATGTGGGGAATTTGAAAGCCAAGCCAACACCTTGAACTTTCTGTCATTACCAGTATTAAGTTTTTTTTTCTTTTTTGGCAATTTGAGCAACGGTAGCTCTTCTGGAGCTTAAGCCCCTGATGTTTTGTCAAAAGGATACATTTTATTATTATTATTAAACATCCACCCAAAATTTAGACGTAAATTCAAAGCAGTATAAGGGCGTTCAAGAGCTCTAGGAAAGGAAGAACAAACTGAAATCTCTTCTGTAAAAATTCCCCTGTGAATATATTCTAAACAGGATTTTTTAAAGTCTCTTTAACCTTTGGGGCAACGGCATCAGTGTCAGATAGAGTGTGAAAGAAACATTACCAAAGCACTGAAAATCACAAGCATGCTTAAAAAACTCTTCTTACACTTATTGTCAAATAATTTTCTTTAAAAAAACCCACTTTACTGTCTTTTTTTTATCAATTTAATGGATCCATGAATTAAAGTAGGCAATTATTTTTCTTAAAATCATGATGAAACCAAACATTAGAATGGTAGCCTACTGTAAATATAATAATAGTCCTAATTATAAACACAAAATAATCAACTTTAATATTCAGTGAAGACCATTAGACTACATTTTATATGATGGGGGTGGTAAGGGACCTGGAGAATGGGTAGGGGGGCGCTGGCCCAAAAAAGGTTGAGAACCACTGCTATACAGAGATAGAAGGCTACGTTGATTAACAATGCATTATAAATATACTTTATTCTTATAAAAAATACCCGAGATGGCTTGATGAACACAAATAAACCATATATTGTCGTAATCGTAAGTTTATTGTATTGATGTTTCATCAGGTAAAACGTCTCTATCCGCATTTCACTTAGCTACAGCGATAGATGGATTTCTTTATCCATATTAAGGATTTCCTGGAATGTCATGAGTTCTATTACTTCTGTGAGTCTCACTTGTGGAGTTTCTGCCCTCTGGCTACCAGTATGAATGAAACAGACACTACATTACATGTGTGTTCTCACAAATTCTTACAAATTCTTTTTTTCTCTTAGTGGATGCATCCTGACAAAAATTAAGAAATTACTGTCACAGATTTTTTTTTGTTTATATCATAATAATTTAAATATTTTATAATAAAACCTTAGACATTTCTAATGATTGATTGTTATAGGCTCTCTGCATTTTAACAGGTCACCCTGCAAAATTAATGTTTTTTTTTTTTTTTGTAAAATACAATGATATAATAATTGTTATATTTATTCTTAAATACTCAGTTTTTTTTATTTATAGTGAAACAGTGTTTTCTTATTTTGTTTAATGTTTTTATATTATAATAATAGAACATTAATGTCCTTTTTTAAGCGATGAACTGCATTACTTGTGGTTAAATGTTTTCAGAGATGTAACATATTTTTTTCTTGTACTACAAATCTTTCAACCTCTGTAAAAAAAAAAGTTAACATACAGTTAAAAGTAGGTATGAAACAAGTTCACAAACAGTCTTTTCAACCTCACAGTTTAAATATTTCTGTGTTACAAACATAAAATAATCAGAGAAGTTCAGGGATAAAAGTTTATAGTTTGTATATAAACTCTGATTTCATTGGTTGTGATCAAAATAGAGTAAATTACATATTATTATTAGTTTTTTTTTTCAGGGGCTAAGCCCCTTATCTCTTCTGACCATAGCAACAGACTTGCCATTTTGAAGATTCTCTGATCCAGTTGTCTAACCATCACTATTTGGCCCTTGTCAGAGTTCCTTTTTTTTGCCTATATTTTTCTGCTTCCAACACATGAAATTCAAGAACTGACTGTTCACTTGCAGCCTAATATATCCCACCCTTTGACAGATGCTATTGTAATGATATAATCAATATTATTAATTTAACCTGTCAGTGGTTTTAATGTTGTGGCTGATCAGTGTATTTAACTATGAATGCATATTGATATTGAAGATCTGGCCGCTACAGATAAGCCGGTAATTGTTTTCATGTTATTGCTCATAACCAATAAATGACTTGTATTAATGGTTTACTGTATTGTTGTCTGTATAAATAAATACATAAATAAAATATCTTAGAAATAAAATGAAATCATTTTAAATTTACAGTATAATGTACAATGTGAACAATGGAAATTCATTTTGAGACTGAAAGTGTTAAGCGTTATTAAATATCCAATAATGGCAGATATATAAAAATATTATGTAATAAATTATTACAAATATATAAAATATATTAAGATAAATACATAAATATGTTTCAGTTTAATTTAGATTCAGACATAACCATATCATGCATTTAGTCCTTTTTCACCAGTTCAATTCATGTGGGTTTTTGTTCCACTCAGTTTGAATAGCCCTGATCAGGGGAATGGTGGGGTTGAGCTGTGCTGTGTCTGAGTATTTGTGTGTTTGGATGAGGATTAACTGGATCCTCTGTTTTAAACCTGCCGGTTGGCTCCTATCATGCAGTCCCTGTAGTCTTTCACTCCATTAAGCTGGACACACACACACACACACACACACACACACACACACGCACACACACACAAACACACACACACACACACACACACACACACACACACACACACACACACACACACACACATTTGTGTCCTCATAAACCATATATACCAGTACACACACACACACACACACACACACATTAGTTAACAGACAGAAAAATAAAAGAGAGACAATAAGAGGTACTCAAAGTCCAGCCTGTGGGCCGTACACAAAATCTATGTTTTTTTTTTTATTATTGAATTTTATTTCTGTGTATGTTTGCCCTAGTGGAGTTTCATTGATTAATGAATATTTTAAGTGAACAAATTATTTTCATTCACTAATAATTCGCCCATTATGGTGAAGTGGTTGTAGATGGATGACCTACATGGTGGTGTAATGTTGAAAGGTGGATGGCCTAAACCTAACCATCCCCTTCCCAAAAGAAAAAATAAAAACTATGTTTTTGTGCAATCCAGGTTGTACAATATCACGATTTTGGCATCTTGTTAAAGTTACTAGTAGGGATGCACCTATCAGGCCCGTTACTGAGCTCTTGTACTCGTACTCGTACTCGTTAAAATGCCCCGATACCAAACGCTGATACTACACAGCATGTGATAAGCGCCATATTCAGACAAAGAAACACCAACAACAGAACAACAGACAGCAGAAAGGAGTTAAGGATGTCTACTACGAAGTATATGTATGAATGTACAAATGCGATAAAATATTGGTATCGGTACTCGGTATCGGCAAGTACCAAAAATAAAAGTATCGGTATCGGGCGAGTACTGGAAAAAGTGGTATCGGTGCATCCCTAGTTACTAGTACTAGTGACAACAGCAGCCCAAACTTCAAAAGCTTGAAAAATCACAAAACTCTCTTATTCCTAAACCACAAAGTGCATCAGTGTACCATTTATATTGATCTGATACCATCACTGTACCATAGTACGCCACAGTACTTATTAGGAAACCAATAACTACTGTAAAGATCCTCCCAACTGATTCTAATGGCCATAATCAAACAAACATCTGGACAATGAAACCTATTTGAACATCTGCTAGCACTCCTCAAGGGACAGATATTACAGAATCATCCACGTCTATGACAGAGACAAGGATTCTAGACATGTTCCAATCCGTTGTCATTGTCATAGCGACACAGGTTTCATTATTCCATTGTCATTGTGATGAGAACAGGCTGGTCATTGTTTCCTGTTCCCAGGAGTGAAAACATCACCTGATTCTTGTTCTATTCATGTGTGAATTCCATTCTTACCCAAGCTGTTGTGCACCTCAGATGGCTACAGTGAGTGTGTTTATGTGTATGCAAGTCTATAAAATCATTTCTAAATTACAATTGAAAATCACTCAGTGGTGTAAATAAAAAGGCCCCAATGTCCAAATAACCATTCTGTGCTACAGCATCTTTGAGTATGTAGAGTTAGTCTGAGTGGAGCGATTTTTCCCTCTAAATGCTCTTCAACGTTAATGAGGGTTGAGTGTCTAGTAAAGCCCTTCCATTGCTTCACATATCACACTAGAAGACAAACAATATGAATTATACAACCCATCCACATTTACCCACACAGTCCCACTGCATCTTATGTGTGTGAAACATAACATAATCCAAGCAAAGTGAGGATTTACTGTACATTCATTTCCATCAATGCTTTTGTCCAAAACACCTTACAATGCATGCAATATGTACATTTTAATTTTGATGCTTTCTGTATTCTATGCAGTTTTACCATTTAAAAAGTATCTGAGATTCTTAGAAAATGGTCTATGAACTGATTAAACCACTGCTTGACTAGTGTAGTGTTCTGTTCCTGTTGATGTATTTCTGAAAAGGACAGATGTGATTTGCTATTTGGTTTGTGGTTGAAATGATAGGGATAGTTATTTTTTGCTCATCCTTTCTTTCTTCTGTGGACCACAAAACAAGATACTATGAAAAAAATGTTAAACAGCTTTGGTTTCCATTGATGGGGAAAAAAAAACACATTTCTCAAAATATCTTAAGTTTAACAAAAGAAAGAAAGTCATACATGTTTGCGAGAGTGAGTGATGAAAATATTTGGTGAACTATCCCTTTAGGAGGAGGGTAATTTTCAATCTAGAGTCATCTGATTGGACAAAAATCTGTATAGTGCATGATGAGTCATCAGTGTTTTTCCCTGGTTTTCCTAGAAGTCAAAGACTGCAATTTTGTTATTGTGCATCTGCTGCAGTTTTAGTTGTGAGGATAGTAATAAATA